GTGGTGACAAAGGGACAGCACTCGGCCACACGTGGCCAAAATCAGGACTCTTCTACTTACAAGGGCTTTACATCCAACCTCATCCAACTGGCCCTGCACTGAGAGGGGTACTGGGCTAAAATAAAGATCCCTTCCAACCAGGATTATCCTCTGGACAGAGAGGAACAGCTTAAGCACTGAAGCAATAACTGGATGCATGTTTAGACAGCAAATACATCAGCACAAACCTGCTTTTCTCACTGCTTGAACACTTAAGCTGTTTCTCCAGGCTGGCTGTAAAGCTTTTCCAATTCATTTTTAAGACATCAAAAGATAAAGGTTGGGAAGCAGCTGGGCAGCGAGCTGCACCTTGATGGAGTGATCATCCCTGCAGGATTCAAGCCCAAAATCACAACACAACAAAAAGGGAAAAACACACCCTTAGGAAAATGGACATGGCTCTGAGAGGGAGAGACACTAACAGGGCTGAGCAAGAGGAAGAAATTGGGAAAGACACCCAGGAGACCAAAAGAAAGATGGCGGGGCTCTCCCACAACTTGGTTGTGAGAGGGGAAAAACTGCACATGGCAGGGGGGTAGACCAACCTGACATCAGCTGCAGCATCCCAGAGATGTGGGATAAACAGTGCTCTGGATTGGACTCAAAAACACCACGGGGATTTCATTGCTGAGTAACTCATGTGTGGGAGCGTTGGGGGTAGGATGGTGGGAATGGATGGAGAGCAGAGATCTCTGAGCCAGGTCAGGAACTTGGGGTTTATTGCAAAGGGCCTGAGTGCAGGGCCCTGCTGGGAGCTGCCAAACACAGCTGGAGCAGGGCTGAGACAAGAGAGGGGCAGAGAGGATGAGAGGGTGAGAGAGTAAAAGGGTAACAGAGTGAGGTTCCCGTTACAATACAATAAATCTCCTTCTGTGCTGAATATTCTAATTCTCACTCACCAATCTAGTACAAGATACAAATCCTATAGCATTTCCATACAGCCTATAAGAATCATTACATTCCCATACTGTGCTACATTTTAATCCCTAAAAGCTCCTCTTTGGGCCCCTCTGCCAAGCTGTAGGGTCTGCTCTGACCCTTGGAGCTGTCTGCAAGCAGAGGGTGTTGTTTCATCAAAAGGGGATCACCTTCAGCTGGCCATGCCATTGTTTTCCAGTTGTTCAGTAACTGAGGGATCTCAAAGTTGCTTTCATTTCAATCTCACTTGTAGTTTCCATATTCTCAAAATCTTTTGCCAGACATTCATATTTATAAGGCTCTCCTGTTTCATCTTCCCCAGCACTCATGGAATGGTTTGGGTGGGAAGGGACTGAAATCCCACCTTGTCCCACCTCCCTGCCTTGAACAGGGATATCTTCCACTGTCCCAGGGTACTCCAAGCCTCTCCAATCTGGTCTTGGACACTTCCAGGGGCAGCCACAGCCTCTCTGGGCACCCTGTGCCAGGGAAGAGGCATCCAAGGCTCTCAGGAAGGTGAGGCAGCTGGGGATGCTTCAGCACAGGGATTCAGGAGCTATGCAAATGCCTACCCTTCCTCCAGATGTTATCAATTAATTAGGTACAGCTCAAACCTCTGAGATGGAAGTAACAAAAGGAAGACACTCGCTTCGTGCCTCCAAGATTTCCCCAAACAAATTTGAAGCCTTTAAAGTGAAAACCCAACAGTGATTATTAATCTGCATGGCCGTGTTAGAAAGATTAAGATTTCATTTCTAGGAATTATTTTAGGTTTAGGCTCAATTTAGAGACATCAACTGCAGAATAAACAGATGCAAAGCAGGTTTAATCCCTTAAAATGCACAGCTGGGGATTTCTAGGGAGCAGACTGAAAAATGAGCACTGAGGAAGAAGGTGAGTCTCCAGCAGCTATGGCTGGGTCATGGAATCATGGAATATCCTGAGCTGGAGGAACCCCAGGGATCACGGAAAACCAACTCTAGATATCCAAAAGAGCAGCAGCTCCCTGTCCCTGTCAGCATGTCACAGACATCTTCTATGGAAAATCCTTTCCTGAGGATTTTTCCTCCTGAGAAGCTGGGAGGCCTCAGGAACAAAATGTAAACAATGATTATCTGCTGCTGTGGAATGCAACAGGTGCATCTGGGATTGGTCTCATGTGGTTGTTTCTAATTAATGGCCAATCACAGTCAGCTGGCTTGGACTCTGTCTGAGCCACAAAACTTTGCTATTAATTCTTTCTTTTTCTATTCTTAGCTGGCCTTCTGATGAAATCCTTTCTTCTATTCTTTTAGTATAGTTTTAATATAATATATATCATAAAATAATAAATCAGCCTTCTGAAACATGGAGTCAGATCCTCATCTCTCCCCTCACCCAACAACCCCTGTGAACACAGTCACATCAGCACCAGGTGCCACTCACAAAAACCCATCCCAAGAGCCCCCAAACTGCAGATTCCCACTGCACCTCCTTCCACTGATCCCCTCAAGTGTTTGTGAGGCATTTCCCTCTCCTTGCTGCCCAAAGGCACCCCAAAGCACAGACAAACAGTGCTGCTCACTCTCCTGGCAAACCTTGGGATAGGGGCCGGCTTCCCTCAGGGAGGAGCACAATCTGTCCCAATAATCAGCTCTCCCACCCCACTGGCTCTCAGGAGGGCACAGACTCCACTCCTGGCTCTCACTGTGGGTGCAGAGCAAGCTGAGCCCTTCCCTGGGCCACCTTCCCAGCCCAGCCACTCCAGGTGTGTCTGATTCCTCTGTCCCACGGTGCTTCTGCACCGTCAGCACAACCAGGAGCTTTCCCCAGAGCCTCCCAAGTGCAGCACAAAAACAGAAACAGAGATCCAGCCTGGGAGCTGCCCTGCTCAGAGGGGGCTTGGGTAAAACCCACACCTCCAGCTGGGCTGCCCTGGGCTTGCAGCAAGGCCAGGAAACCACAGGGATACTCCAGGGCTGGAGCCAGGCTGGGAGAGCTGGGGTGCTGACCTGGAGAGGAGAAGGCTCCAGGGAGAGCTCAGAGCCCCTTGCAGGGCCTGAAGGGGCTCCAGGAGAGCTGCAGAGGGACTGGGGACAAGGGATGGAGGGACAGGACACAGGGAATGGCTCCCAGTGCCAGAGGGGAGGGATGGATGGGATATTGGGAATTGGGAATTGTTCCCTGGCAGGGTGGGCAGGCCCTGGCACAGGGTGCCCAGAGCAGCTGGGGCTGCCCCTGGATCCCTGGCAGTGCCCAAGGCCAGGCTGGACATTGGGGCTGGAGCAGCCTGGGACAGTGGGAGGTGTCCCTGCCATGGCAGGGGTGGCGCTGGGTGGGCTTTGAGGTCCCTTCCCACTTAAACCATTCCATAATTCCATGAAAACTCACTCCTCACCTGCAAGGTGTGAAACAGTTCCATCACCCACCTCCATCCATCCATCCATCCATCCATCCATCTATCCATCCCCTCTCCTACCCCAACATTCCATGATGAAAGATGACACCTGAATTCCTGTATCCTGAATTCCTCTATCCTGAATTCCTGCATCCCCCCAGCACCATCTCCAGCACAAGGAACCCTCAGCAGCTCCTGAGCCCCTTCAGCTGCACGAGTCTCTCTGCAGCAACAAGTCCCTCTGGCAGGAACAGGAACATCCCAGAGAAATCAGCTGGAGATGGAGCAGTTCCACAGCCCGGTCCCAGGGCAGTGCTGCCTCCTGAAATTCACAATTATTCACTTTCCACCATCGGTCACTGCTGCAGCCTCGGGAAGGCAGGAACAGCAGAGCCAGGACATTCCCACTCTGCTGGAAGTGGGAAGCTCACAGGGCTGCCCAGAGCAAATCCTCAATCCCCAGGAAAAGCAGGAACTTCTTCAGGGCTGTAGCAAAATTCCAGAGCCAGGAAATCGGTGATGACAAACTCCCCTTGGCTGATGGGCGCTGGGATTCCCTCAGGGTTTGGGTCAGGATAACGAAATATAAACTGCTAAATGCGGAGTTGGGGTTTCAGTGTCTGTGTGGCCAAGCCCTCAGGATCAGCTGGAAAAGCACAGCACATCCCAGGGTTTGGCAGCAACGCCCTGGGAGAAGGTTTTACAAAGTTCCAAGGGCCCCGAAAAGGGAAATTATCACAGAAAAGCCAGAGCCAACCCCCTGGAGCATCCCTCAGCCTCATGGTGAGCTAAGAGCTCAGGAAAATGCCAAAATTCTGTTCTTAGGCGTTTGTGGAGCATGGGGGAGTTGGATTCCCGTGGATTCAAGCCTTGGCACTGGGATTCCTCAAGCCCTGTGACAGCCACAGTGTAGTGGGGACTTGGGCTGGGATGGCAGGACAGCCCAAAGGAAGCTGGATTGTAATGAGAATAAAGCTGAATTATAGCCAGGATAAAACTGAATTATACCCAGAGTGAAGCTGAATTATAGCCAAAGTATAGGATGCATTATAAGCACAATAATGCCAAATTGCACCCAGAATAAGATTGAATTGTAAACGGAATGCAGCCAAATTATAACCCAAATACAGCTAAATTACACCTGGAGTGAAGATGAATTATTGCCAGAATAAAGCTAAATTATAACCAAAGTATAGGATGGATACTAACCAGAATATTGCCAAATTATACCCAGGCTAAAGCCAAAGTATACCCAGAAAAAAAAGCCAATTTATGACCAAAACAATGCTAAATTACACACTTAATAAGGATTAATGATAACAAAAATAAAGCCAAACTATAACCAGGATGTAACTGGATTACACACACAATAACACTGAATTACAACCAAAACAAAGCCAAGTTATGCACAAAGTAAAGCCAAATTACACCGGTTCATAACCAAAGCTGAATTACTACTAAAAAAAAAAAAAAAACCGGATTACAACCAGAGTTTTGTGCAATTATAACCAAAATCCCAGCAGGATAACGCCATTTGTAACCAAACCAAGGCAGCGCCGCTGCCGGCCCCGGGAACCGGCGGAGGGCTGGGGGACCGGGAGGGGCTCTGGGGGGCTCTGGGGGGCCCGTCCCCCTCACGGGAGCCCCGCACCGCGCGGGCCGTCACCTCGCAGCTGAACTCCATCTCGGCGTCCATGGTGGCGATGCGCACCGTGAAGGTCTTGGGCTGCTTGCGCTTCAGGGAGCTGAAGCTCATGCGGGACGCGATGGCCCCGGCCATGGCGGCGCAGCGCGGTCAGCGCGACGGCGGCGCCATGGCGGCCCAGCCACGCCCCCGCCGCTGTGCTATTGGCCGCGCCGCGCAGTGCGCCCGCCCCCGCTGCACCATCTAGCCAATAGAAAGGGGTGTGATGGAGAGGCGGGAGGAGCAGCAGCTGTGATTGGGTAGAAGGGATGCCGCTCAAAAGAAGGGGCGGGGTGAGGCGGGGCCGTGAACAGCGGGGTGAGGAAGCGATTGGGCGGGGCGGTGTCGCCCCCTGGCGGCGGGCGGAGCGCTCTGCTCGCGGGGACGAGCGCCGGGACCCGGCGTGGGGACAACAGGACACCGGGACAGGGGGGATATGGGGACAGGGGGACACGGAGGATATGGGGACAGGGGAACAGGGGGACACCGGGACACGGGGGACATCGGGACACGGGGACATCGGAACAGGAGGACACGGGGGACACAGGAACACCGGGACGCCGGGATACGGGGGACATGGGGACACGGGGACGGGGGACAACGGGACACGAGGGACACGGGTACACGGGGACACGGGGACACGGGGACACGGCAACACCGCACACGGGGAATACCGGGACATGGGGACACCTGGGCACGGGTACACGGGGACACCGGGACATCGGGACATCGGGACACGGGAACACCGGGACACGGGGGACACGGGAATACCGGGACACGGAGACACGGGGGACACTGGGACAAGGGGATATCGGGACCCTGGGACACGGGGACACGAGGGACACGGGGGATATGAGGACAGAGGGACACAGGGACATGGGGACACCGGGACAGGGGGACACGGGGACAGGGGGACAGGGGAGACACTGGGACACCGGGACACGGGGGACACGGGGGACATGGGGATACCGGGACACGGGGACATGGGAGGGTGTCAGGGGACCCTGGCGTGTCCGGGGCCCTTGAGGTGTCAGGGGCCCGCGGGGTGCCCGATATCCGGGCATGCCCGGCGTCTCTGAACCGTCCATGGGGAGTCCGGGTTCTCTGGAGGGTCGGTGGGGTGTCCGCGCTCAGTGGGGTCCCCGGGGTCCCCAGGGTCTGTGGAGTGTCCAGGGTCTGTGGGGGGTCCGGGGTCCCCGGGATGTCTGGGGTCCATGAAGTGTCAGGATCCCGTGGGGTGTCCGGGGCTGTTCGGGCTATCTGGGGAACTCCGGCGGTGTGTACGGTCCGTGGGGTATCAGGGTCCTTGGGGTGTCACGGATCGCTGAGATGTGAGGGCTCTGTGGGTCCGTGAGGTCCTTGAGGTGTCCCCGTGTCACGGGTGCCCCCAGCACCGTGGGTGTCCCCGCAGGGCGGGGTTACCTGGGGCACACCGGGTGCTGCCCCCTCGGTGGTTGCCGGGGCGAGGGGACCCACGCGGTCCCGGGGGCACCCGGGTGTCCGTGGGTGGGGGCAGAGACTGGGACCGGCGCCCGGGGCGGGCGGGGACACGGGGCAGGACTGGGACTGGGAGTGGGACTGGGACTGGGACTGGGACTGGGACTGGGACCAGGACTGGGACCGGGAGTGCGGCTGAGACTGAGACTGAGACTGAGGCTGGGACTGGCACCAGGACTGGGATTGGGACCGGGACTGCGGCTGGGACTGGGGCTGTCACTGGGACCGGGACCAGGACTGCACCCCGGGACTGGGACTGGCATCGGGACCGGCACCAGCACTGGCACCGGGAGCAGCGCGGCGCAGTGGGACGGGGCCGGCACCGATAGCCGGGCACCGGGCGGCGCTGGGAGCAGAACCGGCCGCGGTAACGGACCCGGGACCGTCACTGGGGTGATGGGACGGTGACTGGGACCTGTCACCAGCGCAAGGGGACGGGACCGACCCCGATCCGTGTGGGATAACGGGCTGGGAACCGGGACGAGCACGGGGGGACGGAACAGAAACTGAGACCGGCACGGGAGGGACTGGAATCGCTTCGGGGTTACTGGGACGGGACTGGGACCAGTTCAGAGTTACTGGGATGGGAACTGGGACCAGTTCAGGGTTACTGAGATGGGACTGGGACCAGTTCAGGGTTACTGGGATGGGAACTGGGACCAGTTCAGGGTTACTGGGATGGGATTGGGACCAGTTCAGGGTTACTGGGATGGGACTGGGACGAGTTCAGGGTTACTGGGATGGGACTGGGACCAGTTCAGGGTTACTGGGATGGGATTGGGACCAGTTCAGGGTTACTGGGATGGGAACTGGGACCAGTTCAGGGTTACTGGGATGGGACTGGGACCAGTTCAGGGTTACTGGGGCAGAACCCGGGACCAGCACAGGGGGACCGGCAGAGGAGGAGGGGGAAGGGAGCAGCGGGAACCGAGAATTCCCCCCGACAGCCCCGGGGGGACCCAGGCGTCCGGGAGCAGCCCCCGCCCCCGCAGCGGGAAGAACGGGGCCTCTGTCCCCGCGGGGACAATGGGGACATTGATGGGGACCCCCCCGGCCCCCCGCTGCCTCCGCAGGATCCCCCATGGCAGAAAGCGCCGGCCCCGCCCGCCGGGACCCCGGCCCCGCTGGCCCCCGCACCCAGGTGGGCGAACGGGGTGGCGGCATGGGGGGAACTGAGGAACCACGGGAGGGTTTGGGGTTGTAGGGGTTGGTGGGGAGAGTTTGGGGAACCCTGGGAACCCGAGGGGGGCCTGTGGAGAATTGGGGTGCAGGGGGGAGCGCAGGAATCCATAGGGACCTATGGGGCACAAGGGGGGAGCTCTGTGCAGCTGGGGGGGCTACAAAGATAAATTGGGGTGGGAGGGCTGGGGGCTGTGGGGGTCCCTTCCTGGGGTGACCCCCCTGCCCTGCCCAGCCCTGCCGGCCCGTGCCGAGGGTCCACACCTTCGGGAAGGGGGAGCAGGCGCTGCGGAGGGACCCCCGCACCCCCCCGGCCCTGCAGGGCTGGCTGCACAAGCAGGTGAGGAGGGGGCGTGGGGAGGGGGCTCGGGGGCTCTGTGGGGGTTGAGGAGCGGGATTCTGGGGGGGTTGTGGGTTTTGGGGGGACCTGGGGCAGTGGGGGGGTTGGGAGGGTCTGGAGTGTCAGGGGGCCATGGGGTGGATGTGGGGTTGGGGGGGATCAGAGGGAGCTGGGGGGTCAGTGAAGGGAGGGTTGTGAGGTTTGGGGGATTTGGGGAGATCAGACACACGGTCAGATCAGTGGGGCGGTTATGGGGTGTGGGGTGGAAGAGGGTGCTGGGGGTTGTGGGGTTTGGGGGCTTTGGGGAGATCAGACACACAGTCAGATCGGGCAGTGTGGGGTGGTTATGGGGTCTGGGAAGGGAGTGCCGGGGGTTATGGGATTTGTGGCTCTGGGGGGATGAGGAGAATGGGGGGGGATCAGAAGGAATTGAGGGGTCTGGGGCAGCAGAGGGTCCCGGGGGGGGCTCAGCCCTCGTTCCCCCCCTCCATCCCTTCCCAGGACAGCTCGGGGCTGCGGCTCTGGAAGCGCCGCTGGTTTGTGCTGGTGGATCTGTGCCTCTACTACTACCGGGGTGAGGGGCACGGGGGGCTGGGACACCCGGGGGGCCTGAGGGACCTGGGGGCAGCGATCCCGGGGTGTCCCTGGGTCACTGGGGGGGACTGGGTGTCCTGAGGTGTTGGGCAGCCCTTGGAGGACCAGGAATCCCGGGAGTTTGGGGGTCCCTGGGGTGTTGGGCAGTCCTTGGAGGACCAAGAATCCCGGGGGATTGGGAGCCCCTGGGATATTGGGGGGGGATTGGGGGTCCCTGGAGTGTTGGGCATTCCTTGCAGGACCAGGAATGCCGGGAATTTGGGGGTCCCTGGGGTGTTGGAGGTCCCTGGGGCAGTCAGGGATCCCAGTGGGATCAAAGATCTCTGGGGGATTTAGGGGTCTCTGGGTAGGTCAGGGATGCCCCAGGGATTTGGGGTCTCTGGAGCATTGGGAATTCCTGGGGGTTGGGGGTCTCTGGGTGGGTCAGGGATGCCCCAGGGATTTGGAGTCTCTGGGAATTCCTTGGGATTGGGGTCTCTGGGTGGATCAGGGATTCCCCAGGATCGGGGCTCCCTGGAGGATTGAACAGGTCATTGGTGGGGTTTTAAGGACTGGTCTGACCCCGGCAGGTTCGGGGGCATCAGAGGAGGTCCCCGGCATCCCCCCGATGGTGCTGGCGATCTCGGGGTGCAGATGGGGTCTCTGGTGCCCCCATTGTGCCCCTGCTGTGCCCCCAGACAGCAGCGAGCAGCAGGTTCGGGGCGCTCTCCCCCTGCCCGGCTACGAGATCCGCGTCCTGCCCGCCGCCCCCCGCGCCCCCCGCGCCCCCCCGTTCCTGTTCACGGTCAGCCCCGGCTCCCCAAATCGAGGGGGGGAATGGGACCCCGACACCTGAGCCCGGTCTAGCAAGGATCCCCCATTGCCAGGCTGAGCACGCCGGGATGCGAACGTACTGCCTGGGCACCGAGAGCGCCGAGGAGCTGCGCGCCTGGGTCTGTGCCCTGCGCCGGGGGGCATCGGCCCTGCCGGGGTGAGCGGGGCACAGGGGCACCGGGGGGCACGGGGGGCACCAGGGGGCACCGGGGGGTATCGGTCCTGCCTGGGGGAGCAGGTCAAGGGGGGCACCGGGGGGCACGGGGGGGTACGGGAGGGTATCGGCCTTGCCGGAGTGAGTGGGACACGGGAGACACAAGGGGCACGGGGGGCACCAGGGGCATCGGCCCTGCCCAGGGGAGTGGGGCACGGGGGGCATGGAGGGCACCGGGGGGCAAGGGGGGCATTGGCCCTACCCTGGGGATTGGGGCATGGGGGGCACAGAGGCACCGGGGGGCACCGGGGGTATTGGCTCTGCCCAGGGGAGTAGGGCACGGGGCACACGGGGGCACCGCGGGGCACTGGGGGGCATCGGCCCTGCCTGGGTGAGCAGGGCATGGAGGGCACCGGGGGGCACCGGGGGCATGGACCCTGCCCAGGTAAGTGGGGCACGGGGGCACCGGGGGGCACGGGGGGCACCTGGGGGTATCGGGGGGCACCTGGGGGTATGAGGGGCATCGGCCCTGCCCGGGTCAGTGGGGCACGGGAGGCACCG